CGTTTTGATTGGTCAATTCGGATAAAGCGACGCGTGACGCACTCAGTGGGAACGCACTCTCTTAGGTCCATATATTTTATGTGCTCGGCCTTACTAAATTTCCCTAGCAATTCAGTGCGCATGCGCGAAAAACGGCTTGCCTAATGACATGACACCGGTTGGCAGCCTGCAATTTGGACAATATGTCTACTGTGTCTCTTATATCAGTTTCGTTTGACTACATTTAACTTCTATGAAAATAGGAGCCGAACGAACAAGATACATTTATGCGACGATCGTATATTCGTATTTTAAATCGCAAAGTGGATTGATATCGATATATGGCTATAGCATGCGTTTCAATAGTTTAAATTGCAAATTACGGTAAATATATCAATGAAGATGCTAGCCTATAAGAAATTGCATGCATCCTCTTATTATACTTGTGTAAAATTTTTTCATATAATCTATTCACGCTTGCTACTTGTAGATTAGATATATATAAACCGTATTATACATATATAGATTAGATATATAAAATCCGTATTATACATATATCGCTAATATTTATATTTCCTTACATTTGTTTATTTTTCTTAATAGCACATAAACAGTTGCTTCACATAATAGAGGTTTCAATTGTATAATAGTGGTTCTACATTGCCTAAATTAACTGTCTTCTACAGTTACACTGTGTTATACAGCTTTCTGGGTTTAACAATATTTCTTGATACTATATAATATTCTAAAAATACTATATAATTTTGCTACAGGATACAATTTTTTAATATAAAGTTTTTAATTATTTTCCATTATGTTTGTAAGTCTCATGAATGTGTATGATTTTTAGGTAACTAAAATTTCGATAAACATCAAATCTATTAATGGCAGAAGAAGAAAGGATACCATCTTTGCCAGGTAGGAAACATATTTCATTCATTGTTTGTTATTACAGCATTTGTTACATTTAAATCTTTATTAAATAATCCCATTGTGTGATACTAGAAAAAGATGGAACCGATACTTCTCAATCAAAAGATACTTATACTCCGGAAGAGCCAACTTCGGATATCTCGATTTCCTTGTTGGATATACAAATGCCAGAAACACCAGACAGCACCAAAGGCCAGGCAAGCGATGGTGATACATCAAGATTGGAGAGTCCAAAGACAGTGAAACCAGTGCTTGGAAAAATTCAAGCCAAAAAACGATTAATGGCATTTGCTAATCAATTCAAAGCACTATCTAAATCCCAGGTTAAGCCAAACTTGTCTCAGCATTCCACTGGAGCTTTAAAGACAAAAGATAAAACTCAGGATGATATAAATATAAATAAATCAAGAAAAAAGACAGGTAATACTATACAAAATATACTTTATCATGAAATGTTTCAGAATTCTTGTATTTACTACATATAACTGTAAATGCTTATACATTTGATATTTGTCATATATTTGATAAATTTGAAATTGGTTTTACTTTCTTATTTAAGGTCATAGATTAAATTTTTTTTTTCATTTTTACTGCAAAATATCTTGACAACAAATTACAATTTAAATTTCTGTTATTTTTAAGAAGATACATTATATTTTTATGTACACAATTATGCACTGAGTTTTTCCAGATATTTATATATTACATAATTTTGGCAAAAAAACATTCTTTAATTTTTCCTTCCATAATGCTAGATTATAGAATGTAACTGTAAAATCAAAAGTTTAGTTTACTTGTTAAATTGTAAAATGTAAATGTTTAAATAGATAGATGGTTATTAGATTTTATAAGAATTGGTTTAATTTTGGATTTGATTGCTAAAATTGTTTTTTAAATTAAAGTTAAAATTTTGTAGCAAGTAAAAGAAGGATGTTACAAAAAGCCGATTTTTGGCTCGTTCGTAGAAAGTAAAATTGACATCATTTCTTATAGTTTTTGAAACGAGGAATCCAATAGTGCTAGTTAAAATTACGTTACATATCGGGAACACATCGAAATTTGAATTCAAATTTGGAAAAATGCGTGGCGTCACAGTCATTCGCGAGACAAGTCGCTACGCCGCATGTGTCGATAATATGCAATGTGTACATTATGTTTTGTCATTACAAATGAAGAAATTGTTATTAAAAATGCTATATTTAATAACGAAAATATCATGGAAAGTCCCGTGCGCCTGCATGAACATGTTCGAGTCGCAACTTTCTCCACCCGGCGGATTGCCGTGCGTTTTCCGAGTGAGCAACGCATTTTTCCGATTTTGAACTCAATTTTCGATGTGTTCCCGACATGTGACATAATTTTAACTAGCACCATTGGATTCCTCGTCTCAAAAATTATAAGAAATATCAATTTTACTTTCCGCGAGCGAGCCAAAAATCGGCCTTTTCGTAACACCTTTCTTTGTATGTTAGGATATGAAAAAGTTATATTTTAGCGTTACGAATATAAATACAATGGTTGAACACATTCAATTTTCAAGTTGTAAGTTTTTTGAATTGCAAATTGTGTTTGCAGTGAATTAATATTTGTTCAGAATTTTTAAAATTTAAATCATTGATATTTATAATTTATGTATAAAAATGGACTTTTGTAGTGATTTTTTAGAAATAATTAAGTACAATTTTTAATATATAAGTGCTATTTAAATATTTAAGTAAGAATAATTCTTTTTAATTAGATAAAAGTAAAATTTTATAATATACAAGTCAGTATATTATAAAATATACATATATTCGTATATTATTGATTTATATTATTATACTGATTGTATGATAAATTGTTATCTTAATTGCTAACTTAATTGCTCATGAATTTTATTTTTTTGTAGAATAAGTTACCCATTTCTTCAATATTACAATTTTTACAATATTAATGTGTTTTCCATATATACAAATTATATCAATATATACATATATATATATGTATATATATATATATATATATATATTTATTTAGTAGGACATTTTAATCTTATATTACAAAATCCATATTAATAAATACACTGCTGTAACTTATATTCTATAACGTGAAGTATGTCTAGATTGAGAATCTAGAAAATTTATGTACACATATAATTTTTAATCATCCAGTGAACATCATATTATGATTAATTTTAGACTTGTAACTTTTTTTCTTAACATTATGTCAATTTTAAAATTGTAATTTCCAATGTTAGACTTGAAATTTTAACTAATTATCGATTTATATGTCTAAATCTTGAATTATAATAAGAATTTAAATCCTTGTTTGTTTTGTTGTGAATCTAAATAAGATTAATAATTCAAAAATTGTAAGATTTATAAAGCTACTTCTAACTGGTACTTTAAAAATTATACATTTTCACAATTTATGATTTGTAGAGGAAAAAATTCTGGCTATTGAAGAAATTCGAAGGGAGGAATCTAAAAGTAAAATGTTACTCGCAGAAGCTATGGCAGCAGGTATTGTTTTTATACAATTATGATTCTAAATCAGATATTTAATGATAAAAACTTTTTTATAGCAAGTATGGAAGATGAAAATCATACTGGCAAGAATACATCTGGTTTACTTGAAAGTACAAGACATACGAAAGAAAAAAATAAACATGAGGGAATGAGCAATGATCGTAAAAATAGATCATTGGACCGAAAATATTCAGAAAGGTAATATTTTTGATTATGTGTAACAATGTATACATTTTCATATTTTTTATACATATGTGTATAAAAAAATATGAAATATACTTTCTCCCCATTATTCTTTTCTATGTTCTGATAAGGCTGGTTTCTTTGATATTAAAGCTAATTATTTTTGTAAGGTATCGACATCGTGACAAAATTGATAAAGATAGTTCAAATCAGGATGTTAAAGATCGAAATGGAAGTATAGAACGTTTTACACAAAAATCTCAGGATAGAGAAAAGCATAAGAAAGATAAGAAAAAGAAAAATGATAAAAATAAACGAGACAATAGTAAAACAGATACAAATCGTAACAAGAAAGAAGGAAAGGATAAAAAAGAAAACGAAAAAGAAAAACAAGAGACAAAAGAGAGAATCGAAACAAAGAATAAAAAGAAAATGTAAAAGAAAAACGAAATGATGTATCAGAAACTGAAATAGAAGGCAAAGCTAAGAAAGAAAAAGACAAATGGAAAGAAAAGGTATTATTGAAAAGTAACTCGTGGGCGGAAGTACGAAAATCTGGCTTAACTATTAACGATATTATTCATCTTAGAAAACGTGATAATTCAGAACGATCTGTAAAAATCAGGTATGGTATATTTGTAATTTTGAGATCTTATCTATAATTTATATATATTTAAAATTTGAGATCTTATAAACATACGTGTGTATATATATATATATACACAGAGACTGCTAGAAGTTCGGGGCCACCTAAATAATTAGGGTTACAATGGCAAAATGTAATCATTTAATGTTGAAAACACCCACTTTAACTCTCCGGTGGAAGGGCAGAGGGGAGATGAAAATCTTAAATGGTATGTGGGGTCGAGTGAGGGCTCGTTTGAAAAAGTTTTTCGAAACGGGAAGAACACGAGGTCTACTATTTTTGTACGCAGAATTATACTTGTTTGAACATTGGTGTTATTTAACGCTAGTGAAGCCTACGACGAGGATGTGAGAAAGATAAGGTGCATGTTCTTACATACACGCACGCTCTTTCACATATCCATCCACTCAGGAATATGCATGAAACTTTCCCTTACGTTCTCGCCATGGACCACTACTGCTAAATAACACCAAAGTTCAAATAAGAATGTAAAAAAAATAGAGATCTCAACGACATCTTGACCTGGTGCTCTTCTTGAAAAGCTCTTTCAAATGAGCCCTCACTCGACCCCACATGCCATTTAAGATTTTCAATTTCTCTCTCCTGCCGCCCTTCGTCGGAAGGTTGAGGTGGGTGTTTTCAAGGTTAAATGATAGATTTAATGATGCCATTGTAACCTTATAAATTTTAATCCAATATCTCGAACCATTCAGAAATTATTTAGGTGGTCTCGAACTTTTGGTGATCTCTGATGTGTGTGTGTGTGTGTGTATGTGTGTGTAATATGTAAATGTGTATCAAGCGTATTGTGTGGTATATTTCAGAACAACGCAAGATTATACACGTTATTTTGAACAGATGTTAATGTTAAGTAATCACCGTATAAAACGTCAAGCATTGATAGCTGACGGACTTGATGGACCTAAAAAGTATCCACCTGAATCGATTAAGTTGACGAAACGTGCAAAGGGACATCAGTTATTATATTGTGAAAATCCACGCATTTCTCTTTTGTTAGGCGTTTCGCAACTTCTGCAAGTCGTCACTCCTGAACGTCGCGAAAAGATACGAGACATATGCGAGGCATCCTTACCACGGTATATCGTAATATCCTCCGTATCCAAATCTTTCTTTATCTATCCAGATCTTTGTGTAATTGTAGGATCGATGCAGAAGATACAGTGCAAGAGAAACGTAATTGGTATCAACAAATAAATACGACTAAGCGTGAAAAAGATACCAAGTGGCAGATGACCATACAGCTTCCTAAGTCAAAATGGGATAGTGAAGATGAGGAAATGTCGTCTGTCAATGTAACGAAAGAAGAAACTGAAAAACCAGTAAACAAACTGCATGTTTCCGTAAATCAACGTAAGTGAATTTTAACTATAACAGTGCATATAATGCATATAACATGGATGTTAAAATCTTTGGGATAATAATAATAAATCTTTTCTTTTAAGAAGAAGACAGATGTTCCACAACTTCTAGTGTAGCGGATGATGACAAAATTGATAACGTCGAGGATGTCAAGGAAAATACATCTAGTGAAAAGACCGAAAATATAATGACAAATGATGAAGCTTCAACATCTTCTTTACTACAGCCAGCTGGAAATGAAAAGTTAGCTTCAGAATATGAACAATTTATGAAGATGGTATGCACTACAACTGACGTGTCTAAAGAATATTCTCCAAAGAAAAACCCTGTTAAATCTACTTCTCCACATAGTTATCATGAATTTAATATAGAATCTAATTTGGCTGAAGATAACACGAACATAGAAATACCACTAAACGAAAAATTTGAAGAAAAAGATAAACAAGCTACGGATGGGTCGATAAAGAGTATAGAATGCGAGGAGTCTACTCTGTCAACAGACTGTCAAATACAAGCCAATGAAAGTAATATGCCAATTAAACGTACAAACGAAAATGACGCATCTGAGGATTCGAAGTCAATCCCAAGTGATTGGGAAAACGTTAGAATCAAAGTTGAACGATTGAGTGATGAGAATACTGAATCAAGAGAAGCGAAGAAAAAGAAAAAAAAGAAAATCATATCCAGCAGTGATTCATCTAGCAGTACCACCTCTTCGGATTCAGAAAAGGAAAAAAAAAAGAAGAAACGCAAACGGAAGGTAGTAAGCAATTCATCTTCTTCCGATTCTGAGAGTACGGATAGTAGTAGTAGTAGTAGTAGCGACTCCAGTAGTTCGGAAGAAAGAAAGAAAAGAAAGCGGAAGAAAAAGAAAGTTGGGAAGAAAAGAAAAAAGGCAAAGCGCATTGCGCGAATAAAAAAGAAGCGAAAGAAGAGGATGAGCACCGATTCCAATAGCAGTGATTCAGATGAACATACAAAGAAGAAAAAGAAGATCAAGAAGAAGACAGTGGAAGCAAAATCTATTAATAATGGAGATTTAAGCAAAATAATATCGAAATCTCCTGTAATAGCTTCACCTTCAGATGGGACAAAGATATTGCAGTCAGTGACTCCAGCAAGGAAGATTAAAGAAGAAACAGCAAGTGGAGACAGAAAGAGATCCGATCAAGTTATATCAACGACAAAAACTATCGCTGATATACATGACAATGACCGCTTAAAACAGAAAAAGAAAAGAAAAGGAAGTAAGACTGACGAAAGTTTTTTGGAGCAATGGGAAATGGATTCTGCGATGACACTGCAACAAAAAGATGACGAAAGTTCAAGTCAAGATACTGGAGAATTAGAAAAGATGGATGATTTAGAAAAAGGTAAAAATCGAAGGAAAAGAAAGCATAGTCGAGATAATGTTGAGCAGGACAAAGATAAATCATCTAAAGTTAATGAAGAAAGGATTCATGAGGGAAAAGCAAACTCAGATGAAGAAATTGAAGCAAAAAAGAAGAAAAAAAGAGACAAAGATATTAAAAATAGTACTGAGTTCCTTGCAAACTGGGAAAGAGAGAGTGAACGTATTACTCAACAAATACAAAACGATGCTAAGTATTTGAAGAAATTGGGAAAGCAGAAGCAGGAGAAATGGGGAGAAACTGATTTTGACACATTAAACGTGCCATCTTTGACACAACTCGAAAAAGAGGTACATCAAAAGCACCTTCTAGCGGATGAGTGGGAAGTGGATAGTTTGGAAGCGGGATCGGATCTAATTACGAGTAAACGAAAAAGCAATCAGGGTTCATCGAAAAAAATAGAGAAAGAAGTTAGGTATGATAAAACAACAGACACCTATATTGCAGTAGAAAAGGAAAGTTTGAGAGAAATGAAAAAGAAGCAGGAACGTTTGTGTGCAATAAGAATATGGGAGGAGGAGCAAGAAGAAGGTGAGAGAGAAGAGATGATGCTCTTGAAACAAAAGAGCAAGCATAAAACGGATGATTGGGATATAGAAGAGGAATCTCTTTTTCGCAAGACTACCGAAGAAATGGAAGTGTGTAAGGTGAACGATATTATCGCGATAGAGAAAGAATGGACTAAAACGAATGAAAAAAAAGATATCAAAGAAGATGCGAGTAAATTAACTAACAAGCCAAGTAAACGAGTTAAAAAAAGTCGTTGGGATATGGGCTCTCAGTCTGAAGAAAAGTCGGAAGCTAAAGATATATGGGAGGAAGAATATGCTGAATGGTCCAAGACTAACAAGTGTGAGCAAGAATTTGAAAACACAAAGAAAGAAGAACTTTGCCCTACAGATTATTCGGAGAGTTCTAGTAAATCCGATCTGATGGATTTCTATCATAGAAAACCACAGAGTAGAGAATCATTAGAGAGAACATGGACATCGGAAGAAATGGCAATCAGACCTGTGCAAGCAACGAAAGATGTACCAATGAAACATTTAATTCCTGCGAAAACAAATGAAGAACTTGCATCCGTTAAGGAACATCAGACTACAGATCAATTTAAACAAATTTCGGAATCGGATGTAAAATTCAGTGAGAAGACCGTGGAACTATACAGTCCCAGTTCTCCGGCACTTTCTCAAAAGTCTCAAGTAGGTATATTTTACTATCTATATAATATATGTGATGTATATATGAAAAAAATTATATATGTATCTATATATGTTATCAAAACCCATAATCGTTAAAACCTGATTTCACTAGTTTTAAAGTTAATTGAAACAAGGTCTATAATTGTATTGTTTCACATGGGTTTTCGACTTTCTACGCGTAGCGAGGTCCAACGCCTTCCCCTGTTTACGGGGCGAAACGAAATCTATAATTGTACTATCCACATTTCGATTTTACATCTAATCAACCATTCTAGTTTCAACTAGTGAATTCGGGTTTTAACGGATTACGAATTTTGATTAAGAAACACTTTTAAATCTTTTAGTATTAAAATTCAACAATTATAGCGTTAGTAAACACGTGTAGTGCGCTTATGTATTTCCTGAATATCAATCATGTAACTTTTTCTTTAGGGCGGAAAAGTGAAGACACCGACAAGATACTGTTAAAAATATCTTTAATAGTTTGTCGTCACTTTTCACGTTTCTGCTCCAGAGAAAAAGTTACATGATCGATGCCCTGATCATTAGTCTTTCTTCAATCTTATTGACTGGCACGCGTGTAAAATAAAACAATACTTGCAAAACTCTGTGACACAAACTGCAAAAAGCATTATTTTATTTTATCTGATAATATGGATTATAAAAATCGTTCCGTAAACTCTTGCAATTAAATAAAACTAAAATATGGGCTAATAAGTCATATGCGATTCTTATTGCACAAATATTTAGTAAGTAACATGTTCACATTGTACATACATGGTAATTAAAGTATGTATGTTTCGGATCATATTTGAGCTAATTTTTTGACGTATCGCTTTTAAATATACATTAATTTTTAATTTTTGATTCTACTTTTTAACGTTTTTTACAATTTATATTTTGACGAAATTTGTTACCCTATATTTTGCTGCTGCAAGAGATCAGCCAGTATTTAAGAATAAAATTTTCCTTGTGTTGGTTTTTGTTTTTACAACCCGATAGTAATATTATACATTTTTGTAGTTCTCTCTAGTTCCATCCAGTTAAGAGGATCCTAAACCCTAGATCAAACTCCAAAAATCCACTGTTTTACAGATAATTTGTGAGTATGTATGCGTGCGATATTGATGTAGTAGTGTGTAGTGATGTGTCATGTTTATTACCACATCAATAT